ACAACAGCTTTATATTCACTTATTAACAAAATTGTATTCAGATGCAGACGACTGTGTCCCTAACCCTTGTACAAACGGTAAATGTATCGACGGAGTGAACTCGTACACATGTGAATGTATTCCTGGTTATGCTGGGAAGAACTGTCAAACCGGTGAGTGAAGTTTATCTCTAATCGGCATGCATAGATTTATTTTCTTACCACCAAAATTGTATTCAGATGTAGACGAATGTGCAAAGAAGCCTTGTCAAAATGGTGCCAAATGTATCGATGGAGTCAATGCTTATAAATGCGAGTGTGCTCCTGGTTTTAATGGAAAGAACTGCGAAAACAGTGAGTGAAGTTTAGTTTATCTAACATCTATGTTTCCCTACTTACGTAAATTCATATTTTCAGATGTCGACGAATGTGCAAAGAAGCCTTGCCAAAATGGCGGTAAATGTACAGATGGAGTCAATTCGTACACATGTAAATGTGCCGCTGGTTACACTGGACCAAACTGCGAAACAAGTGAGTGAAGTTTACATCTACCTCATTTATGGCAGCATATGGACGAACTAACAACATTTCTTACAGATGTAGACGATTGCACGAAGAAGCCTTGTCAAAATGGCGCCCAATGTATTGTGAATGGATATTGGACGTCATGTTATTTTTCATATATCTTGCTTTCGCCCTATTATATCCATCTAACAATATCTCAAATCAATTCCTAGAAAATACATGGATAATAGGGCGAAAGCAAGTTTTGCCTATATTACGATATTATAACTGGGAGTAAAAAGATCAAGATTATGGCTGTTGTTATAGCTCATTATCATTATATCTCCCATACTTTCTTGCACAACAGGCAATGTCTGCCCCAAGTTTGAAAGGCATGGATGTTTCAAAGCCAGGGATGGAAAATCAGGGCAAGCTGTTTTGCCTAAGATGCTTTTCAGTGATCGTCTCAAGAGATCACCCGAGTTTAACAGCCGAAAAGGCGTTAACTGGAAAGGATGGAATGACTATTTGCAAGACATCGCATGTAGATGTGCTGAAGAGGCGAAGAAAGTTGAAAATGCTCAGTATTTTGCCATTCAGTTCTTCGGTGAGTATGTTGCGAGATTTGTTCGTCCTTCAGTGACAAAAAGCCAGCGCAGACTAGAATCTGATTGCACGTATTGCATACAACCTTGTCAAACAGTATTATTTCGGACTTTTTCCATTTCTCTTGTACTATTACTTGAATTAATTGTTGTTCTATCAATTTTTCAACTCTCTCAGGCTGCTTGAAGGTTAGACACTCTTTTTAATATAACCAACAATTATAAAAAAATACCCCCCGGTTAATTTGCTGTTTTAGAGTTGGTGCATTATACATGTAAAGATAATTTACCTACACATCYACTCGAACATTTTTGTGCATTTTTGGGTGCCATTTTCAAAGTTCAAGACTTGAATTCCGACTACCCTTCAGGGGTATATATTCACCAGCTTTATTGTGACAAAAGTATATGAGAAGAGATTGCTACGCTCTGATTATTAACCACATGGATTATTTTTCTTTTCTAAGGAGAGTGCTGGAGTGGTAGCCTCGCGGATGTGGACCTTGATAGTCTTGCATCCAATAAATGTTATGGTAGAGATTACAAGACGTGCTCATCTGATTCTGTCGACAAGTACTGCGTCGGAGGAGCTAATAACATCTTTATATACCGCTTCGATAGTAAGTTGTCAGTACTGGTATAAGAATTGATATTAGAAATGTCTTGAAAAAAAGCCATGAACCAAGTTCAGTTCCTAACGCAATCTTGAAAACAATGCAAACATATTTAGGTGAGCCTGCAGCAATAGCTTCACACCTAAGGCCATTATTCACGAGTGTTTATCATTATAACCTCAAACACTGCCTTGCTTTAATAGGGCAAATAATTTTTTACCAACGGATTTCAGGCCTTCCCTTTAGCTGCAAAATACTCCATTTTATAGGCTCCTCCTTCGGCATCATTGAAATGATTCACGAATGATATAGCATTTCAGAATAAGTGTCGTTGTAGTCAGTTCTTACAAATCTAATTGTTTTGTTCGATTAAATTTGAAAAAAATACGTATACGGAAAAATTGGTGAAAACAAGTTTTTTTATTTTTTTATTTTACATTTAAGGAGGAAAGCACGTATTGTTTTCTTCCTTTTCTTGTTGCGTGAATACATTTTGTTTCTGCTGATTGTAGCGACTTTTCTTTTAATTAGTTCATGGTGATTTTTGCTTTACTCTTTGCTTGTACAATGAATATTTTGTATAGTAAAATAATAAAGTTTTCACTTGTCAAAATGGTGCCAAATGTATCGATGGAGTCAATGCTTATAAATGCGAGTGTGCTCCTGGTTTTAATGGAAAGAACTGTGAAAAATACAGTGAGTGAAGTTTAGTTTATCTAACATCTATGTTTCCCTACTTACGTAAATTCATATTTTCAGATGTCGACGAATGTGCAAAGAAGCCTTGTCAAAATGGTGCCCAATGTATCGACGGAGTCAATTCTTACACATGTAAATGTGCCGCTGGTTTCACTGGACCGAACTGCGAAACCAGTGAGTGAAGTTTAGATCTATTTCATTTATCGCAGCATATGGTCGAACTAACAACATTTCTTTCAGATGTCGACGAATGTGCAAAGAAGCCTTGCCAAAATGGCGCCGAATGTATCGATGGGGTCAATTCGTACGAATGTAAATGTAAACTTGGTTACACGGGAAAGAACTGTGAAAACTGTAAGTAAATTCAGTCACATGGTAATGACATTGACAGAAATAAAAATTTGAAAAAGCAGTAATCCTTGGAACAACTTAATAAAACCATGATCATGAAAGTGAACTGGGCCGGGCTGGAGGATTGCTTCATCCGCTCCAGAGATTTGTGTATGAATTTTTTCCACTTACTAAGCTTTAGACGTTGGATAGCACTATTTGCCTTCCCCTCCCCCTTTAGATACTCATTCATGCTGAATTCGGATATTCTCTTCAGCTCCAGTTTGTCACAAAGTGAAGCGAGTTGGGTGTTTCAAATCCTTCCTTGGTTGGCATAGATCTTTACCGGATCTAATCTTGACTGATCGTGATGAAAAATCACCCCAAACTAGTGGCCTTACTATGCCGGACTGGGATAATTGGGGACATTACATGGCTGATATAGCTTGTAGATGCGCTGAACTTGCTAAGAAATCGGGCTACAAATTCATTGGAATTGAGTACTACGGTGAGTGACAAATTAAAATTTGTTTTGGACACACCACAGGACAAAGAGGGAAAAATATACATGTATATATAAAATCGTTCAAGCATTTTGATACTGCAAACAGCGCATACCAAGACTGAAACGCTTTTGATTTTGGATTCCAAGTGAGTGGAGGTGGAAATGAGCTTCTAAAACAAGTTACTTTCCATCGAGGGTTAACGTAGAGAGTTGGAATAGTCACTCCAGTAAATGAGTATTTTGCGATATTTTTAGGGGAGTGCTGGGGCAGTCTGTCGGTCAAAGCGGACCATTTTAGACCAGGAATTGCCTCTTCAAGCTGTGGAGGTATCGATTATGTGAAATGTCTACCAGAGGAAAAGCACTGTGTTGGTCTTCAGTTTGGTGACTTTGTGTATGAGATTGGTGAGTGGTAAAATTTGATTATCATCAAGTGTAATATTTACGATTCGACTACGTGTTCCAAGAAACTATAAACTGATAGTCTGTCACTGGTAAAAATAGCGCGCTTTAAAGGTTGTAAATTTGATGTAGATATGATGTAAGTGTCCAAAATTCTGAAAATATGATGTAAATGATTTCCATTAAATTTGCAGAACTTACATCATATTTACATCCAATTAACAACCTTTAAAGCGCGCGATTTTTTCCAGTGTGTTAGGCCCTATTCATTCCATATTCTACTATACAATACAGCTACATAGACTTCATATGATATAACTACATAGACTTGATCGACTCCGTAAGAGAGAGGCTGAGTTGTATGTGCATATATTCGCAAAGATCTTAAATCATCGGCTATAAAGGATCTTTCGTCCGTATCTGAGCAAAATGTTTACCAATTATGGCTCAATGTTCAATTCACAAAGTTGAAATAGCTTGTAATCTGCGTGACCTAAAGTCCGGCCGACTCTTGAGTTTAAAACCTAAAATACACGCAATAGCTTGGCGCTATCTCGCGCCAATGCCAAGAACTGGCCAGCTACTTCTTGTAAATAGCTAGTAATAAAGTTAAGAGAATGTAGCAAGGCTCAAAAATGGCATTGTTACTTAGTCTCCTCTCGCAGCCGTTAGGACGTTCGTTCCCTGGTCACTCCCTCCTAGGGGGGCGTGACCTGGGAACCAACGTCCTAACGGCTGCGAGAGGAGACTAATTGTCACTATGCGTATTACAATAAAGACTATTGCTTTATCTCTAGAGCTTCAGCTCGCTTTTCTCCTCTCTTCTTTTACGATACTAATATATATTTTTTTAATTTTCAGTGGAAGAACCCGTGGTCGAATAAGTCTACTTAGTAAGTCTACCAGAAACAGAGAAACTACGTTCTCCGTCAAAATATACCTCTAGAATTTACATTTACGGATATTAAATTTAATTTCTATAGCCTTAAAGGAGAAGTAAATGAATTTGAACACCATTTTCTTGTTACAATGTGACTGGGTCCATCGTATTCCTCTATTTTTATACCAGCACTTGGTGGCCTTCATTAGATTGCTACTTGGTTTTTAATGAGGGGGCCTGAAATTGAGTAGTAGCAACCTTGTGCGACAAACTTTGTCATGATGTTAATTTTCTTCCAATATGCTATTCTTAAAGGTTTTTAAGCCTTAAAAAGCATGTAAGCAAGCCAGAACCGCCGGAAATCAAGCTTGGACCACAAAGCTGAAATTAAATCTTATCTCTAAAATTCAAATGTATTTTAATGAAATTAAGAAATAAGATCTATAGATGCATAAATGATTATATATGTATACTCATATTTGAAAAAAAGGAAGAAAAAGAATAAGAGAAAAACATTTTGGTTGCAAAAGTCGACATCATCAAAGCTAAAGCAAAAAGAGACGTGGTAAAGAAAATATGAGTATAATAGTGTGTCAGTGCCAAACGATTGCTTTCACCATGTTTCACCGAATAAAACATGGCCCCCTATAGGGACCGCGGAGCGGGATCTTGTTTGGGGGGGCTAGCGGCGAGGAGGTACTAGGGGGGTCGGAAATTTCTGAAATCTTAACTCTCGGAAATGTCATTTCCAGCGTTTTGAGGCGTTATCCAAGACATATTTACCACAGACACGGTCAGCAATATTATCAATAAAATCCCAAAGACTTCATAAGGCAGGAGGCTTTTCGCTTCTTTATTTAAGAAAATTCAAAATGTCGGAAATATTATTGGGGGGGCTATAGCCCCCAGCCCCCCCTGCTCCGCGGTCTCTGCCCTAGCTATTTTACAAGTGTAATGCTGCAATGTGGCATGTTTAGGCAAATACGACTGAATTATATTTCTGTGTTCTAAAAATCCTCTTCCGTGCATATACCGGATAGCTTCGTTTTTCAACTGTTCGTAGAATGAATAACCATGCAAAATTTACCCTGCATAGCTGCTAATTATTGTTATTTAGCAAATGATGCTTTATCAGGTAGTAATGAATGTTATCAGATAAGATTTAGTGATTGGCCCAACCGATCCTTTCGTCCAGTCGAAAAAAAAAACAGTTTTGACAAGACTTTATAGACGAAAACATATTGATTCGCAGTAATGAAATTATAAAAAGAAAAACTGGAACTCTTGTAATCAAAGGTTCAAGGTCAAATTATTCTTCCCTCATCACAAGAGTTTATTGTGTAATTAGTGCAGATTTGTGCTAATTAGGCGAAATTTCCTCTCGCTTGTTATTGATGTGATATGACAACACCATATGACATCTATATAAAGTACGTGGCTTCCTCCTATTGGCTGAAATGCTGCCCCGCCTGTCCTCATGTTGGATGTAAAAGAGTTATTTCTTCTACATCGATTAGTCACAGCAAAACACTGGTTTCGTGAAGTTATAACTTCAGTGTATCTATACGTAAACTTTTATTGAAGGTAAGAATTATTCAAAAACCATAGTTTGTAGAGGGAAATGGTTAGGAAGCCTTTTGTTGTAGGTTTTTGTGCACTTTTTTCCAAGCGTGACCGTGCACAATCTTTTGTTTAACTATTGTTTTAGCCATCTTGGTCACATCTGAATGAACATAGCAAAAATTAATCTTTTGGCAATTTCTTCAAAATGCACAAACCTTTTTGACCAATATTGAAATATTTCATTTCATAATCTCATAGAGAGTCTTTATGTTCACTCATTTTGCAATTTCCATCGTCCGTAAGAAAAAAGCTGTGCACGGTCTTGACTGATTCAACCTCAAAATACATACAAAAGATGTACAAAAGAAGTACAACAAAAGGTTTCCAAACCATTCCCCTCTATTAACTATGTCAAAAACATAGTATATGTATGAGAGTCCATGTATGGGTCTTGATGCGGTGTTTTTTTATATACCTCCTCTCTTCTTTATCAGTTGAAGCCAACGACTTTCCATTTTCTAAAGAAAGTTTGATAATAAACTCAAAGTCCTCGCACTATTTAAGTCTGCAAAGAAATCTAGCTCCAAAATCTCATTTTTGGCCTTTTTTGTTCGTTGCAAAGATAAAAATGTATACACTTGCCATTTTTGTCCAGAAGAACAAACAAATGACAAAGGATTTTTACATCATTGTAGCGCGAGGGCATGCTGTGTTAAGGAAATGTCCGCCATCTGGGGGCAATGCTTGTTATCTGACGCTGAAAGTTTAATTTCAAATAGTAAAAGGGGAAAATCTGTGACACGTTTGCTTTGACTATAACAATGTTTCTTCAAAGTCTAAATAATAATGTGGTTCCATTGCAGTTTATACTTTTGCATTGTGAATTAGTAAGATGAAGGGCGTTCATTTGGTTATGGTCGTAATGATGACCTTCGTTCCAGCGACGGTAGGTGCTCTGTATTCTGTAAATGCGAGAATAGGAATCTAGATTTCCAATTGTTAACATAATTTATTTGCCACCAGCAGGGGTGCTTTGAATTGAACTCGTATTTGAAAAAAAAATGAACATCGAATGGTTTCCACCAATTCAATTCAGAAAAGAGCTCAGAATAGATTAATATCGGGATAAATGAAATTTGCGAAAAAAAGGCCTTTGCTAATTTTACAATCAAGAAAGTAATTGTTTTCATGTTTTTCCTTATAAAAACTTGTCATAAATCAACTGTTTTTTTTTTATTTGTTTGCAGGTATCAGGTCAGTAAGTAAAGTGGCAATAATTATATAGAATTATTCAGTCATGTGTTATTTGTTGTGACATAGCTTATGAAAAACAACATATAGAACAATGGTATTGGCCATGGTGCCATTAAAAAATTGAATAATCATGAAATACAACGTTGCATCTAAGTTTGCAACTTAACGTTTATTTTTCGTAATTCAGAAGATATATTCCAGAGTCAGTAATAAACTAAATATTGTATTTCTTGCAAACATTGAAAACTGTGCACCAAATCCGTGCAAAAATGGCAGTCAGTGTATCCATGGATACAGGTCTTACGAATGCAAATGCAGACCTGGTTTCCAAGGAAAAAACTGTGAAACCAGTAAGAGCAATTTTATAGATATACGCTAGTTGGTCAAAATCATCCAAATCATATGCGATAAAAGGCATTTCATTCCACTGTTTTTCACTCTATTTCTTCACAATCTTTTCATTTCTTTGTTTATCATTTTTGAACATATCTGTATACTTTATTACAGAGAAATCGTGCTCATTGGAACTATTTGTCGAACGTTTCAAAACCGGGTGTTTCAAAGCTAAGCATGATGAATCTGGACAAGCTCTTCTCCCTAAGATGCTTTTCACTGATCGTGATGAAACATCACCTGTGTACAGTAATAAGAAAGTAAAGTGGAATGACTGGAACAACTATTTGGAAGACGTCGTATGCAGATGTGCTGAGAGCTCAAACAAGAATGGATATGAATTTTTTGGTATACAGTTCTTTGGTGAGTAGTCATGTAACTATTATAAAATTGATGTAATCTATAAAACATTATGTGACCTTTTCTCTAGTTCTGTTGAAATCATCATAAATGCCGAAAGCTTTTTCTGTTCATGTCGTTACAAACCAACATATCAGATCCCAGGCTAACCTGATTCAAAGGACAATCAAACAAAAATTAATGTTAATGTTAATTTGTTAAATGCCAATGATGGTAAAATTTCCAAAAATAAAAAAATGGTGTGAAACATCATTCTTCATTTACTTAGGGGAATGCTGGGCTGGTCAATGGGACACGGTAAAGAATGCGCATGCTCTTCCTAGCAACCAATGTTGRGGTAAAGATTACAAGAAGTGTGCGTCTGATGCCAATTACTGCGTTGGAGAAACCAGCAAGATCTTTATATACATGCATCCCACTTAAAGACAGGTATTACCAGTGTCTGATTAGATGTGATTTAAAGGCGCTTCGCCAGGCGGCATCTTACTAGCGCTTACGAACTTTTCTTTTTGTTTTGAAAAGACGATAAAAACAAATCAAAAATCAAGTTTCTAGTTATTGTTATCTCTTCATAGTCTATGAACGCAAACTTTACGGCTACAAACAGTTGATTTGGGTGATGTGAACTTAATTTTAAGGAGATATTGGTACAAATCCTTAATAATTTGGGCAAAAAATGTTTGAGTAGATGACGTCATTTACTCCATCCGTTTGTTCTTCCATCTTTTGAATCAAAATTTCTCTGATGTAGGGCAATTCCAAAACAAATATTTTCCCGCAATTATTTTTAATAGATATATATGTGAGTCATATATTTGTATTGCTCGAAGTTTTGGAATAAGTCCATTTTCATGCAAGTAGCACTGACTTTAAGAAGCTATGACTATCAATTTTCCCTTTTCAGCTCGATATGCATCATGGTCATTCTCAAGTCAGTGGAATGTCTAATACTACGATGAACGATTTAAAATCGTGAGATTCTAGTAATAACGATTTTAGTTTAGAAATAGCACAGTTAGGTGACTCTAGCAAATAAAGCAATGTGAAAATCAAATACATCTGAGTTACTGTTGAAATATCTTATTTGTATCTATGGGTCTAATTCAAATTCAGCTCCGATCGTGAAAATATATAGTGCTATATACTTGATCGTAGGAATTGAATTTAGTTAGGCTCAGGTTGAAAGTATGTTACTGTTGCGCCCTCATTCTCTATACCACTGATCCACATACATTTCTACAGCCACATTAACATACATTCTCTACCGCCGATCCACATTCTCTACACGTACATTTACATACATTCTCTACTGGCACATTCACATTTCACATTTTCTACCACCGATCCGAATTCTCTACAGGAAAACGATTTCCTTGAAGGCATAAGCACATAAAGCGAGAACCGCCGGGACTTAAACTTGGACCACAAAGCTGAAATTTATTGCGTTATATGTGATATGTAACTGCAACATATGTTTAGAAAAACCTGTGTTCATTAAATTCTCTTAAAATTCCGTGAAAAAGTGTTAGCATCGTTTTTCAATTGTTTGTGGACTGAATGGCCAACATTTACCCTGCATAGCTGCTAATTATCAAATTGTGTCTTATCAGATACTAATGAATCTGATCAGATAAGATTTAGTGATTTGACAAACCGATCCTTTAGACGTCTAGTAAAAATCCGATCCTTTAGTCTAGTAAAAATCCAATGCAGAGAACAACAGGTTGACAAGAATTTATAGACGAAAAAAGAATGATTCGCAGTATTGAGAATAAAAAAAATAAAAATTGTTACCCTTATTTGTAATCAAAGGTTCAAGGTCAAACTATTCTTCCTTCATCACAAGAGTTTATTGTGTAATTAGTGTAGATTTGTGCTAATTAGGCAAACTTTTCCCTCGCTATCACATCATATCTAAAATACGTGGATTTCTCCTATTCAAATGGTGTTTTTGGACCAAAAAGAGATGCTTCTTCTCTATCGATTAGTCATAGCAAACGACGACTTCGTGAATGCATACATGCAAAATATTTCTGCTTAAACTTTTATTGAAGGTAAGAATTATTTAAAAGTATAGCACAAAAATAAAAGGGAAAACTTTTGCTTGTGTCCTTGAAGTTCAAGGTTGCAAGATCAAACTAAATCTTGCTGCGTTTAACAAGTATATTGTGTAATTAGGGTTTATTTGTGCTGTTTAGGTGAATTTTTCACACGCTTGGATATCTCTATATCGCTTCAGATAAGAAATTGATGGTTTCTTTCTTATTGGCTGGAAACAGTTTATGGTCCCTCACATCCTCCTCCTCTTACACTGAGAAGTCAGACAACGCACAAAAGTGTTTTCTAGCGAAGTATTCGCAGGGATCTCTAGTGAAGGTAAGAAATGTTTCATAATGTAATGGTAGGAATCTTCTAGTAGATCCGATATTGTAGGTATGGGCTCACAAAATTTGACATTCTCTAATAATTTGTTTGCAAACGTTACTCGAGACCTCGCGCGGTCAAATTCGTCTTCTTTAAAGACAGCCACAACAGCTTTTTCTTCACCTAAATGGGGAACTTATTCAGGAGGTCAATTTCAATTCACATGATGCGAATTAAGTGTATTTTTTTCTAAACAAGTTCAGGGGCGGATTTAGGGGGGGGGGTGTGAATTGGGTGGCTAGCCACCCCCTCTTTTATTTGAAAAAAGTATAAAGGCTTTAAGTTTTGAAAAAAAGAAATTCAATAACAGGATTATTGTATAACGGAAAATATGTATTACTTCGAAAAAGATATATAGAGAGAAGAACTGTTCGATGTAACCGATGTTATAAATATCTTTCATATATAAGTTTCTTGATAAGTCCGAAGTATTGTAGGCGTGCCCAAGATAACGATAAACGATAATTTCACATTGAGCCTAAAGAGTCAAATTAATTGTAACATACTTAAATATTAAATTTTGATGTTAGCCACCCCCCTCTGAACAATCCTGGATCCGCCCATGCAAGTTAGTTAGAACCATGGTTAAATCCATGATATTTTTGTTATGAACGTACGTAAAAATTAATGTTTCTCTGGTAATGTAGTTTGATTGCAGTTTATATTTGTGGTGGAGCCGTAACTCCGCAGTAAGATGAAGGCTGTTCAGTTGTCGATAATCGTAATAATGGCCTTTATTCATTTAGCAAAGGTAAGAGCTCTACAAGTTGTTAGTGCATAATTAAGCATTAAACTTCTAATTGTTAGCCCTATTTGCCACTTAGAACAGTATACACCCTTTTAATAAGTCCCGAGACTATTGAGTTCTCCGCATTTGACGTCAAATTTATTCTTTTGAAATTTTTACAATACAAAAGGAATTCAAAAGAATAAATTTGACGTCAAGTGCGGAGAACACAATACCTCGGGACTTATTAAAAGGGTGTATAACGCACTTTAAATTGTTGGACTCATATTTGAAAAAAGGGATCGATTGATTTCCCCAAGGTTCAGTTCATGGCAAGGTATATACACCTAATTGAAGAAACATTGTCGGGTCCAAGAAGGGTCAAATCATAGAAGCTAAGACCGAAAGGGTACTTGGGGAGACAAACAATTTGGCTAATTTCATAACAAACAACTCTCCAGCATAAAAGACTATCATGCTGTTAATCTTACTAGCTCTACTTGCTTAGTGTACACCGTATATGCAAATGTAATCCCAATTTAGTGGTACTCAAAATCCCTTTTGGTCTTAGCTTCTATGATGTGACCTTTTCGAACCAGACGTTTTTTCAATTAGGTATAAGCGCATAAGCATCAAGTATGATGGCTTTACCCCTGATTTTCCTTCGCTAATTTTCCAATTGAGGGAGTGAGGGAGTTATTTTTGCTTAAGAAACTGGTCATAATTACAATTAAACTGTGATTTGTTATTTTGTTCACGCAGGTTCATTCATCAGGTAAGTGGATAACAGGATAAGTTGAACAGTTCCATTACATTATTCGTGGTACTTGTTGATAGGTTGCTGTTCCTCGATCTCTCCGCTGTCTTTGATACCGTCGATCACTCAATTCTTCCAAATCGTCTTCCTTATACTTTGGTGTCTGTGGAAGTGCTCTTCAATAGTTCAAGTCGTATCTCTCTCATCGCTATCAAAGTGAACGATTTTTTCAAGTGAAATGATCTAATAAACGCCACCTTTCTAATGAACGCCTCCTATCTAATGAACGCACCCATTTGCTTACAAGTTTGTATTAAACGCCCCTTTCTAACAAACGTCCCCTGTCTATTAAATGACCCCTCCCCCCTCCCCTCCGTGCCACCATCCATCACTAGAAGCAAACGACATAGGAATGACGGTAAAATATAGCAATTTAATTGTCTTCTTGCTTCATTACCACTGGCAAGTGAGTAACATTTTGTTCCATTTCTAGTTCAAAATGAGGATAGCGTTCTTTAATTCTACTACTTTCATTGCTTACTAAATCAGGTCGTAAAGTTATAAATCATAACATGCGATACATTACATTGCTACAGTTTTATTTTAGAATAAACGCCTCTCTCTAATAAACGCCTCTTGTCTATTAAAGGCCCCCCCTTTGACCATTGAAATTTAATAAACGCCCCCGGCGTTTATTAGATCATTTACGGTATTTCATGATCTCTAACTATCTATATTTCTTTGTCAATCTCTACTTCAACTTTTTATTTTAATTTTTACCTTTTATTTCAAGCGCTTAGAGAAAGCTATAGAAGTACTATAGAAGCTTTTATATCATTATCATTAAAATGTGAGCCTTCTTGTATTATGGTCGTTTATCTTGCTCTAACAAGATCCTGTAACTTCATATTTTTTTACAGACATTACATGCTCGAGCAAATTCAAGCGTGTATCGCCTGGATCTCTAAAAGCCAACGATGTTAAATCTGGACAAGATCTTCTACCTAAGATGCTTTTCACTGATCGTGATGAAACATCGTCTGTATACAGTAATAAAAACGTTAAGTGGAATGATTGGAACAACTATTTGGAAGACATCGCATGCAGATGTGCTGAGAGCGCAGCCAAGAACGGATATCAGTATTTTGGTATACAGTTCTATGGTGAGCAGTTATTACTATTATCTGATAATGTACAGATACTTTAAGCCAGAGGACATCTTGTTCTCTAATACGAAGGGTAACAAAGAGCTGCTATTACCCCTATTATAGAACACGTCTAGTTCCGATCAAACCATCAAGACCTCTAATCAACGTGGATGAAGCGTTTATCGTAAATTAATGTCCATTCAAAATCTATAACTAGGTTTATAACAGCTTAAGAACAAGATAAATGAATACAAGCGGGTTGGACAATAACGAGCAGTTTAATACATTGTGTATTATGGGTACAATATTTCTGCTTTCTACTGGGATGGGAGGGACTAAACCAAAGATGAATTTCAAGCAACTGTAATAATACTGCTTCGGTTCTGTATAAACAAAAGTGTTCAGATGGCTAATTTATTTTGTTATCCAAATATCAAAGTGTGATAAAATGACGTTTGTCCATAATGCGCAGAAGTATAGTGGAAACCACCATTGTTTTTTTTAATTCAGTGGACCACCATTGTTTTTTTATTTAGGGGAGTGTTGGAGTGGTCCATTTAATCAGGGTAACGCTGTTCTGTCTAGTGTTATAAGCGACAAGTGCTTGGGTAAAGACTACAAGAAGTGCTCTGATTTTGCTGAATACTGCGTTGGACGAGCAGATACCATCTTGATATACAAACAACAGATAGGTATTTCTGAAAATTTGAATGTAAGGACCGCATTGCACTATGAGATACATGATATAGAAATAGTGGAACGTTATTAATAGCACTAGGATGGAGGTTATTCCGGCGAGGTCGGAGATTAATCATTCCGATTTTATTTCCAAGGGTCTTTCTCACCGAATGACCTACGTCCTAGCTCTATAACTTTCCTTTATCGCAGCTTTTTGATCGAACTAACAACATTTCTTACAGATGTCGACGATTGCGCCAATAAGCCTTGTCAAAATGGTGGCGAATGTATCGATTGAGTCAATTCGTACGAATGTAAATGTAAACCTGGATTTAAAGGAAAGAACTGTGAAACCAGTAAGTTAGCGTTAATATTCTCTAAATGTGCGATAGGTTCCAGGTTCTTCGCCACTTTTCTAAAAATCTTACATGTAAACTGTATAATAAGATTCTTCTTTAAAAAGAAAGAACTCCTGAGCCTTTGCGCATATATAACTGTTTCAAGAACTGGTTTCTGAAATTAAAAAAAAAAGTATAATAGTAAGTTGCGAATTTTTAGATTTTGATTTCGGGTAAATGCACTTTTCCTGTAACGCCATTCTGAAACTCTCTTCTTTTTTGTTTTAGAGTACGCTGTTCCTCCTGGTAAGTTTTTACTATTAATAGAAATCTCGTTTATAATGCAAATAGCTACCAATAATTAAAATTCACCGACTACTGTTGGTCTGTGTAAAATTATGGGGTTGGATTACATCAGAATACCCAAAAGGATAAATAAGGTTGGCCTGTGAAACAGGATGGGCTTCAGGTTAGAACGGAATACCTCTACCATGGAGGTATGAGCCACAGTCCACCACCAAGCACCACTATATGGTACACTTCACACTAATCAACAATGGAGTGTAGGAAACAGTGTGTATTTGTACTTGCTATACGAAACCCTGGGAGGGAAGGGTAGGGAACAACTTGTAKATTCACAAGCTAGCTCAGGTAAACACAATGCATAAGATTAGGCGCTGCCATGTAAGGTTGTCTTTATTTTAGAGCGGATTTCGTATAAGTGGGACACCGTTACCGCACAGTTACCGCACAATCACCGGACCTGGCCTGCACAATTTTGGTGAACCAATGAGGCACTAGAATTTGGTTAAAGTACGATTACGGTCACAGTACAGTACCGTCCGTTTCCCACTCATACGAAATCCGCTCTAAATTTTGTCAGTCGTGACAGAGAACGTAGGATCGAAAGTTATTGTTGGATTCGTATTTAACTGTATTTTAAATTTCATAGAATGCAAAAATTATAAGACATTGAACGCTCGTGACCGATCTATGAAGGCACCCACAGTAGGTGCGAGCAGGTGTGACACCCAGGATCTCATCAAAGGCTGGTACCGCTTTGAAGGCGAGGCAGGAACATCTATCGCAACTAAATGCCCTGATGATATGCACTGTGGAACTCGTGCCACTGGATGGATGAAAGGCAATCATCCAAGCCAGGCAGAAGGGATTGTCACTAGAAAAGTATGTTACAATTGGGCTTCCGGTAACTGCTGCTATGCTACGAATGATATTCGCGTGCGCAACTGTGGTGGGTTCTATGTTTACGAACTGGTTAAACCTAGAAATTGCCTTCATGGTTATTGTGGAAACGGAGAAGCAGGTAATGAATAGAGGCATTTTTCACCTTTTAAATGTGAGTCTCTGTATATATAGCTGCTTTTTTCAATGTGTTTCGAGACACCTTCAAAACCGACCGAGCTCCTTACATATCCAGCACCTGTCTTCAAACAAGATTTTGAATATCTCCCTCCAGTCAATGTAGTCTTAAAGCATTGATTCACGCTTGATGACATTTCCTTCAAACTTTTAAGCTCACAATAAAAGAAACAGTTTTTTGCAGATTTCCTACTTGCGGTTTGCGATTTTTGAACGTGGACTGAAATATGTAAACGCGGGTCCGAAGAGTTACAGGAATCTAAATGCTAGTCTTCTTTTGATATCAGAACTATAATCTCTCTAATGTCATTGGTCCACTGAATGTACACATTGGGAGTTTAGCATTGCATAATGTTTAGGAATTTATAGCATGCATGTACCTAACATAGCACTGGGGACCTCGACCTCCATTAAGCAATAGCATTGTTTTCACACAATGAATTGCAAATATTCTCACTGCTTAAAAGTGCTCAAATAAATGCAAATAAAAGCTTATTCAACTGGTTTATTYATTAAAAATATCATTTTTATCATGCTGACATAAAGAGTCTGAGACTATACGTTTTATCAACAGACGATGTGGACGATTGTTTGAAGAAGCCTTGTCAAAATGGCGCCCAATGTATCGATGGAGTCAATTCTTACACATGTAAATGTGCCACTGGTTACATTGGACCAAATTGCGAAACCAGTGAGTAAAGTTATTTTGACTTATTATAACAGATAATTTAGTGTGTAACAATAATATCGTCTGCAGATGTAGACGATTGTGCGAAGAAGCCTTGCCAAAATGGTGCCGAATGTATAGATGGAGTCAATTCGTAGAAAAGTGAGTCTTTATGTAAATAAAAACTGCTTTCTACGTGTTACGAGACCCCTTGAAAACTGATCGATCTTCTCACTTGTTCCTGAAACTACAAAAATAATCAATACATCAAAAAAGAATCGTTAGTTTTAATTTCTTGTAAATGCACTTTTCCAGTAACGCTATTCTAAAATTATGTTGTCATTTTTTTTGTAGAAGAAGTTGTAGTTCCTTCTGGTAAGTTTTTACTCTTGATAATAGTCCACAATGCATGCTTTCATTTTATCTGCAATGTCTTACGTTTTGCTGGAAATAGCTGTCCAAACCAGTAAATGAAAATGTTTAAGGACAAACGAGGTTGGCCTGTGAAACATCATGGGCTTCAAGTTGGAACGGTATACCCCTAGCAAGGTAGCTCTAGCACTGGGGCGTATGATATACATAGGAAACCGTTTGTATAAGTTTTGTTCTTTGCATTCGAACCCTTGGGGAGGGAATGTCAAGGAATAACTTGTAGATTCACAAGGTAGCTCAGTGTTCTTGGTTACACTGGACTAAACTGCGAAACCAGTGAGTAATGTTATTTTGACTTAGTATAACATAGATATCTTAGTGTCGATGAAGTCAATTCTTACACATGTAAATGTACCGCTGGTTACACTGGACCAAACTGCGAAACCGGTGAGTAATGATAATTTCATTTAATATAACAGATATAATATATTATGCGTAACAATAAAATTGCGTATAGATGTGGACGATTGTGGCAAGAAGCCTTGCCAAAATGGTGGTGAATGTATCGATGGAGTCAATTCGTACGAATGTAAATGTAAACCTGGATTTAAAGGAAAGAACTGTGAAACCAGTAAGTCGTCTAAACGTGCGATGAGTTCACTTAACGAATATTCTAAAAATCCTTCATGTAAATTTAATATATCATGTTCTTCTTTAAATTGAAGAAAGAATGGATGAGTCTTTGTGCATATATTAACTACTTTTAAGAAGTGATTCCTGAAACTAAAAAAATAATCAATATATCAAAAAAGAATTCTTAGTTTTGATTTCTTGTAAATGCACTTTTCCAGTAGCGCCATTCTAAAATTATGTTGTCATTTTTTTGTAGAAGACGTTGTAGTTCCTTATGGTAAGTTTTTACTCTTGATAATAGTCCCCAATGCATGCTTCAATTTTATCTGCAATGTCTTGCGTTTTGCTGGAAATAGCTACCCACACTATTAAATTAAAAGTTTTAAGGTTAAATTAGTTTGGTCTGTGAAAAGCATGGGCCTGAAGTTGGAACAGTATACCCCTAGCAAGGAGGTTTGAAACACAATCCATCACGTACTGGTGCACTTCCCACTAATCAGCGGTTGGGTGTGTGCTATACATAGGAAACAGTGTGTGTTTGTATTTAACATACGAAACCCTGGGAAGGAATGGTAGGGAACAAATTGTAGATTCAGAAGCTAGCTCAGGTAAACACAATGCATAAGATTAAGCACTGCCATGTACGGTTTTCCTTGGTTTTAAATTGCATCAGTCGTGACTGAGAAGGTAGGACCGAAAGTTATCGTTGGTGTCGTCAATAATTGTATTCTAAATTTCATAGAATGCACAAATTATAATACATTGAACGCTCGTGACCGATCCATGAAGGTAGCCACCGCGCAAGGTGACGCCAAGTGTGACCGGTGGGATCTCTTCAAAGGCTGGTTCCGCTTTGAAGGCGAGGCAGGAACATCTATCGCAACTAAATGCCCTCCTGAATACTACTGTTGAACTAACTACCCTGGATGGATGAAAGGTACTCATCCAAGCCAGGCAGAGGGGGCTGTCACTAGACAAGCATGTTACAGTACTAATGGTAACTGCTGCACGTGGACGAATAATATTCGCGTGCGCAACTGTGGTGGGTTCTATGTGTACGAGCTGGATAAACCTCCTAATTGTCATCTGCGTTATTGTGGAAAGGGAGAAGCAGGTAATCAATAGAGGCATTTTATTACCTTTAGTTAAAGAAAAGTAAGTCTTTATGTATATAGAACTGCTTTGTACGTGTTTCGAGCTTCCTTCCAAACTGATCGAGCTTCTCACGTGTTCAGCTGTCTTCCAACAAGATTTCAAATATCTCCCAGCAGTCAGTGTAGTCTTATAGCGTCTCTCACTGTGGCAACATATCCTGAGTGTCATGGCAACATCATGAGTTGTCACGTGTCCCCACAAAAGGGTCGACACTTACGTTTTGGTTGCGAGACTTTGCCAGACGGATTGATTGAAGTATCCTCAGAATTAAAAGGGAAAGTATTTAACAAGCATATTGTGTAATTAGTATCCATTTGTGTTGTTTAGGTGATTCACATGCTCATTAGTAATCTCTTATTGGTGGAAATAGTGTTCGGTCCCTCCTATCATCATCGGGGACCTAGTGTATCTAACACTGAGAAGTCAGACAGCGCACAAAAGTGTTTTCTAGCTAAGCATTCGCAGAGATCTCTATTGAAGGTAAGAAATGTTTCATAGAGCAAACGCAGGAAAACCATGAAATAAAATCACACAAAATACTAACAAATAGCGACTATTCAGAGACAAATTGTCAGTATCAATGAACCAGAACACAATGAAGATGAATCCACATGGGACTATTTTTCTTACTCAGAAAATAAAACTCAAACAAGTGTTTTTTCTTCAAAAATAACCATCATATTTGCCTTTTGCTAAAAATGATTTTCTAAAAGGGTTCAGTTACACTTTAAAAGAACACGTGTTTGAAAATAAAAATACCTCGTACTATAGCCATAAGCAAAAACGTACTCTTTACTATCCTTTTGTGCTATTAGATAATTCTTTTGTTTCCCCTGAGCCTCGTTTTCTAGTGCATGACCCTTAAAACAAAATATCTGGACTACTGTCCATGACGTTCAAATGTCCAAAATAAAGAATTTTGCAAATCATCATTTTCGTTTACTTAGAGGAATGCTGGGCTGGTCAATTGAAATCCATTTGGTATACGCCTCTTCTTATGTCTAATCAATGTTGGGGTAAAGATTACAAGAAGTGCGAGAAACGTGGTATGAGATACTGCGTTGGAGATGGAAGCAGCATTTTCATATACCAGTATGAAAGATAGGTAATGCCAGTGATCAGAACTGATAGAAAGGGACTTCACCAGGCGGCATCTTACTAGCTCTTACGAACTTTTCTTCTTTATTTGAAAAGACGATAAAGACAATTGCAAGTTTCTAGTTATTATTTATCTCTTCGTGATCTATGAACTAAAACATTGCACGACTTTCTCTTCAATTTTTCCTTTTCAGCTGATATGCATCGTGATAATTCTCAAGTCAATGGATCGTCTGCGATACAACGGTGAATTCGATCTAATGATTAAGAGATTACTATAGCACATATGGTTGACTTGTAAATAAAGCAATGTGAACATAAAATACATCTGAGTTACTGTTGCAATTTAATATTTTGTAGATTTAGGCCTAGTATAAAATCCTTACGTTCGTGGAAATATATGCTTATCTATGGAAACAGCTAACGAGTTAATTGAATTGAGTGAGACTTTAGGTTAAAAGTAAGTTCATGTATGTTACGTACTGTTGCACGTTCAAATTCATTTTATTGCCACATTCACATAGTACATTCTCTGATGGCGCCCAGTCACATACATTCTCTACAGCCCTGCAGTCACAAATATTCTCTAAGCTTCTCTACCGCCCAGTAACATACATTCTCCACCGCGCATTCTATACAGCTACAATTCACATACAATAATATTCTCTACCGCCCAGTCACATACATTCTCTACAGCTACAATTCACATACATTTTCTACCGCCCAGTCACATCATATACAGCTCCATTCATATAGGAGGATTCTGGAAGAATTCCCGCCTATATACGCCCCTGAAATGTAGGTAAAGAAGCGTGATTTCGCTTGAAGTCTATTCCAGGTTACGCTCATATTGTTGGGGGGTTTCTATTAATTCACTAATGATAGTTAGTTTTGAAGAGAGGGGACATACATCGTGACCGCAGGGCACTATAATTGGACCACAACTTGAAAATAAACATAGCTCAAAAAACACAACATTTTTGGCAATGACGTTTTCCCAAATATAAGATTAAGATAAGATTTATTTAAGATTTATTCATGGGTAGATTTTGGAAGGATAAAATTTGTCCTCTATTTTTGATTGAGTATTATATCATCTCGTTAGATGTCTTTTCAGGACAAAATTTTGAAAAGATACAATTTGTCCTCTATTATGTATTAGTATTATATTATCTAACATTTATCATTTGATTATCGTGTTATATCTTAAGAAATACTAATGAACAAGATATCAAGATAAAAGTGGCTCATTAGACAAAACTAAGTATCATCTTTCAATTCAATATAAGTCAAAAATAAAGACCATTTATTAATTAAAGAGCTTGACTGCTTTCTTGTATATGACGAGGGAAAACAAATCTGTGTAGCTAGAAAATAGCCTTGAGATTGCGTGTTGTAGTAATTTTGGTCTTGAGATCTCTCTGTGTTGACATGTCCTCAGTTATCACGGGTCTCCCAAAAAGGGTCGACATTTTGGTTGGGTAGCAACCGAAGTATCCTCAAAATTGAAAGGGAAATCAATTGTTTGCAGCTACAACTAGCAACAGCTACATGCAGCTACAATTCACATACAATATTCTCTACCACCCAGTCACATACATTCTATACAGCTACAATTCACATACAATATTCTCTACCGCCCAGTCACATACATTCTATACATGCAGCTACAATTCAAATACAATATTCTCTACCGCCCAGACACATACATTCTATACATGCAGCTACAATTCAAATACAATATTCTCTACCGCCCAG